CTCGTCTCGCTGGGGTGAAAAAATGGGCATGAAAAACGACAAAAGTGCTCCATGAAAGGAATGCATGCTCAATGCATTTTGTCGATGAAGAATACACAGAAAAAGGGACAAAACGCGCGCTGTTCGGCGGGAAAACTTGCTAACGGGCGAAAAATACATGTAGAGGTGTGCGCTGAGTTAAATTCGAGGGCTACGACATGCTGATGAAGTGAAATGTCTGATTTGGATGGATAAAACGTCTTAATTCCCCTCAAGCCCCGCCCATTTGCATGCTCCGCCCACTTTCATGTGTTCGCCGTCATTTTCTAACTCTCTATGGCTCTTGCCGGTGATTTTTAGCGGCGCACATCTCCGTTTCGGTGAATAATACAAGACAATACAGCTTGTGTGGGGAAATCACATGAATCTCACCCATGGTCGATGGCTGGGCCATTGTGCGCTTTCACGAGGAACATCCTCTTGACATCAGCACGAGATGCTCCCCGTGGCTTTGCACAGAAAAAAAGCCAGCCCACCATCTTCATCATGAGCCCCGACTTTTTGCCACTCTCGCCCACACGCTGGATATACGTTTTAATTCACATGATGGCCACATTCAGCGGGAATTTTTAAACATATAAATCACTCTGTCGCCCATCCCCGTAATGAAAGCCGACGAGGAGCTGCGCCGCACACTATTCGGGGTGCGGAAGACAATGGAGGCGCGCCTAGTGCCTCTCCATCCAATTTGTATGCAGATCACGAGAGTGAGCGCCTTCGGTGCTGACTCACAGTCTTTTTCCGGGGCATCAGACGCGCCTTGGGCACGGAAAAAGCGCCACTGAATTTGGGAACAATGTCTAAATTTGTTTGTGAACTCTGCACTCCCTCTTTCGTTCTCTCAAAAATTTATAAGCAATTTCCTGCGCACGGTCGCCACGATAAATTCACGCGAAATCCCACCCTTTCACACTTGATACAGTCTCTCTGGGGGCACAAATAGTGGCATATGCCGAGCAGTTCCTATCGCGCGCCCAAGGAATTTGCGATGGGAGATTCGGGCCACAGCCGCAGACTGTTGGGGATGGTCGTAACTCTGGCTGGGGATCAGTGGAAAAGGGAGTTTTCCCCGGGAAGAACCGCTTAAATCAGGGATGGCGAATTTATTTTTCGCCCCATTATTAGAGTTTAGAGTCATATCTTCTCTCTGTGCCACTAAAATCCAGGGATGAGATATTAGGCGGGAAATTGTATGCAACTCAGCAGCAGTTCAACATATTTTCTTTTAACGTGACTGGAAAAGAGAGAATTCTACAATAATTCTAATAATTCGTATAGTTTTCTAGGTTATGTAACTTGTTTTAACCAATTCTTGTGCTGAAACTCAACACATTTTCACGTTTTTGATAAAACTCAGCGTTTGCACTTAATTCAAATCGAAATTATGCATAATTAAGTGAGAAAATTCTACAAATCTACGCTGAAATTAAACATAACCTCAAAAATGATAGGAGAATTTGAAATATATGTTTTTAAAGAGCTGAAGAAGCTTTTACAGCCACATAAAACTAATTTTTATCGATGGAAATGCTAAAACTTTCTTCACGAACGATTCTGAACAGAGATATTGAAGATTTCCTCATTTTTTTGAGGTTATGTTGGGAAAATGATAAGTAAAAGGACGATTTTAAGCAGATTCTTCTACAAAATATGCTAGAAACTCGACACAGAGCTGAAAATATCTGGAATTTTGCATGTGCAAATCACGGAAGATGTTAGAAACTGATTGAACACATTTCTCGCCAACATCCTCCCCCTTGCTAAAATCATTAAAATGCTTCCGCCAAAGGATGTGAGATTGAATTAAATTTTATCGCACTCTCACTGTCATCTTCCACAAAGAAAGAACGATAAATTTGACAAGTGCGGCACAATTGCTGTGAGTTTATAAATTGACATCATTCTCCCCAGTGTCGCTGGACTGATATAATGAAAAACCACCCCCGTACTTTGCATAGTGAAATGAGCTCTCGCCGTCCGCTCGTATCGCTCTCGTATTATTGTTCAATTTGCCCCATTATCGTTTGAACAGAGAATGCCAACAGATACGGTTGCAGAGGAGTTCTTCCAACAGTCATTTTGGCTCTTGTGCGAGTGACAAAAGGAGCACAATTATGCCAAACACTATATATAACTTCGGTTCCATTTGCATATTTGCACTCTGCGGTTGATATCTATATTCCCATGTGAGACAGCGTGTTGTTTAGAGGAGAATATGGGAAAATGAACATTTATTCACGTTGTCGGGCTGCATATGCTTATGAAATTTACGATGATATATGGAGGTGTGTCGCCTTGTGTCTTGGAATTTTGAGAAAATCACCCTCAAAAGATGCGCTGTTATTGTGCCCAAACAATGCATCTTCTGCAGGGGTCGCACGGGGGAATGATTAACAGTCCGTCGGCGGTGACACGATGAAAAATTGCACCTCAAGGAAAAGGTATATATGTAATTATTCCGATTCCCGCCCTCGAGATCGCTCCCAATGGAGCACTCGTGTGTGCGCCTAATGATGGAGTTGGCCGTTTGATAACAGCCATAACAAATGGATATTGTTGGAATTGGATTATTCGCCATGGGTTAAAGCTTAGCAGTTGCAGCAGATAAATTACACTCAGCCTTCAAGCTTTCTTATCGATTAATCGACACACTCGCGCTCTGTTTCTGCCATCAGCAAATACATCCATCTCTCCAGAAGGGTGTGACGACGATTTTCTCCAACCCCCTCCGCACAGTGGAGGGCAAATTGAATGTTCGATGGAAGAAAAGTGTGGAATTTTAGCACAATTCAGCTCAAATTGCACGAAGAATCAATTTCTTATATGAATCACTAATTGGCATGAGAAAGTTTCCGAGCTTGCGATCCCTTAATTGGCTGCAGCGTAATCTGATATTCAAATTGACGAGATATTTGTCACTGTCGATGAAGAGCATGTCGAAGGACAGAAATATTGTTACCACTCTCAGATGCCTTTCAATACACAGTGTGGGAAAACATCCAGCACTTCCGGGGTAAACAAATAAAGCACACAAGCTGAGCTTTTGCCATGGAGGAACAGCGAATAACAAGTGGATACAATTAATCTCGCTGGAGGGCGGGAAAATTGAATGGATGCAGCGTGTGTCTGGGATGATTTTCCAGTTGTGAGAGAAAATTAGTCACGATTTTTCTTTTGCCACGAGGCTCACACAAGTGGATGTGAATTGCGGGTGAAATTTCCATTGGTGTGCGTGAATATTTGATTGATCAACATTGAAGCTATTTGCCACATTAATTCACATCGAATTGTGAGCTTCTGTTTAACTTGTTCACGCATGGATTACTGGCCGCAATACAATGAGCTTTCCTCATTATGTCATGAGCGGAAATTGACTCATGAAGAGTTGCATGGCTTATCATGGTGGCCAATTCTACCTGTGAACACATTTCCAATCGTTCCAATCACACCCAGAGAGTCGTAAACATTAATTCCCAATAAATGGACCCCGAGAGTGGCTGGGAAGTGGGCGAGAGAGGTCCATTTTGGGGGATGAGATTACGGGCAATCTGAGAGATTAACCTAATGACACTCTTCTCAGTCTTTTAAACCACACTAATAGAGCAATGGCTAGTTAATTCTCGGGACCCTTTTGCCTCTTTTCTCCCTCTCTCTCTCTCTCTCGCCCCGGTTTTTGGCTCGACCCGAAGACACAAAACTTGCTCAGATGAAACATTTTCCCTCGTTTTCCCCCGAGCATTTTCTGTCATGGCCACAAATTTCGGCTGGGATTTCATGGGACGCCACAGGCACGTTGGGGATTGGATTCTACCTGAGAACTTCAACCCAGGAAATTATCAGGCAAATGCGCAGATGGAATCTCTTTTACGCTGAGATGCGTAAAGGAGCTTTAATCAGAGGGCAAATAAGGAGGGAAACTGCCAATTTTACTACCCCGATCAGCGAAATAGTGACAGAAGGCTTGATTATTCTCATCAATTTCACGTCATTTCTGATTAATTTCCCTCATGAGCTTGACTTTAACTCAATAAAGGCTTTTTTTCTGCACTATAAATCGCAGACTTTTGATTCTTGATCAAAATCTTTCTCACTAAATCATCTAATCTAAAGCTTTATGTGCTAAATCACAGGAGAATGGAATTCATTGTTTTAAGTCACACATTTGCTTGAAGCGTAAATAATTTTGATTTAATCAAAATATGTTTTGCAACAATTCATACATAATTTCCAATTTTGTCCAACAAGAATGGGAAAAATGTTGTTTTTCACAAAAAAATACTTCAATTTGTATCAATTGTGATCAATATTTATTGTGTTATTTGAGAATAATACGCAAAAGCGACCAATTTCTCTTATTTCTGTTATATTTTTCGACAATTACAGATAAAATTTGCTGGTTTTTCAGTCAATTTTAACCACAAAGCAAACTTCTAGTGTTGCTGAAGACTTTATATTACAATAATAAGTGCACGAGCTTCCAATTCACCACTGCGGAAACTTCAGAAAGCGCAAAGCGCCTCAAGAAGTCATCAATTGAGGCGCTTATCGAGAGAGTTTTCCCTTTGGTCAGTCGGTCGAAGAAGTGACGCTGAAATTCAATAGCCGCCCAAGTGTTTGTTTGGTGTGACAGAGCTTTCGTGTGAGGAAATCAGAAGGATTTTCACAGGAAGCTTTCACCATTGAGAGCACATATGCGGAACTGTGAACATGGAAAACCTATAAATAAGGTGCAAACCCACTTGGCGGAGCCTCCTTGAGGAAATGTTGCTCGCATACATAAAAATCAACAACAATACACTCCATGTGATTGATATTCATGGGATGATGGCAGACTTTTCCATCTCACCGAAGGGGAATCGGCGGTGGAGCTTTTTCTCCATTTAAAGCCCAGAGAGAGAGAGAGTGGAAAAAATCGATTCGGCTGCACAAAAGACAGCGAAACAATTTCACTTGGAACTCACCGATCGTCGTGAGCACGGTGAGGGAGTAGAGGAAGGCTCTGGCAAACGTCCAATCGTACTCCTGCCCCAGGGACGACTGCACGATGACGGCCCCCGTCGCCGGCGCGCCCGCGTCGCCCTGCTGAGCGCCGTGGGCTGTCATGTCATCGGTGAGCCGCTTTATGAGCTGCTCCTGGAAGCGAGCAATCTCCAGCGCGGCCAGTCTGCAACGGAGTTTAGGGGTTGTTAGCAATTTAACCCCTTCCTATGCTTCAGTCACGTGGCAAAGAATGCTCTTCACTTTGCAGTTTGTGCCGATTTATTTATCCATATCTTCTAAAGTTCTCATCCAATTGTCAAAAGTAGCACAGATTTGGAAAGGGAATTTAATAACCTACAACTCTCTAGAACATGTCAAGGCTGTCAAATCGACGGAAAATTGTGTTAATGACCTCTTCTTGCAACACAAGTCTTTTGATTGCATTTTTCAGTGAAATATTCATATCAGCGCCATTTCTTGACGAATTTTCAAGAATAATGGCGTTTTAGAAAGGATATGAGATAACCTACAACTGTCTAGAACACACCACTAATGTTAGAATACGTGTTATACCCATTTTCTACCTGTGAAGCGTAGAGGCACAACAAAGGTCTGCAAAAAGAGCAGACTTTTCACGTGTGGAAACCCAATTAACCCCTATCTCGACGCTACCTGGTCCAATTCTCGCGGTACAGAATGTTGAGAGAGACAGTGATGTCCCAGATGTTCTCCACGGCTCTCTGGCGCGCCTCGAGCGTGTCCTGAATGGCAGCCGGCGAGAAGGTGACGTTATCACTGCGAACGGTCGCCGGCGAAGGCTTCAGCTGGCGATTCGTCGACGCCAGAGTCTTCTGCTGCATCGTCGAGGCGCCGCCCTCGATGGCCAGGAAAATGAAGGAGCCTTCAAGGAGAAATTGAGAGTGCTTTTCACCCCTTTCAGCAACTTCAACCCTTTCGTATAAATGACAAAGTTTCAGGCTAAGCGAAGAGTCTACGTGTTTTCTGAAAAAATGTGCTTCTAAACAAAACTTCCAGAACTTCTTCAAAGCTCTGGGTTTGTGGGAAAAGTCATGAAATATGTATGAAAAAAGAACTCAGATGATTAGTAGTAAAAACACGTGAAGATATTAAGAAGTGATGAAATTCTGCTCTTTGTGTACTCAAAAGTGTCTATTAATTTCATGTCTCCTCAATCTTTCCGTCCATTCAAGGGATTCAAGGATATTTTTGAACGTGTTTGCCGCTAAAGGGCTGAAGGAAGTCTTAGACAAGTGGTCTCTACTGTGTTCCCTTTGATCCTGCCGGATGAAATGCCTTTCTTTGATCTCACAGGGAAATACTGACGCTTACCCAGCAGTGTGTAGGCGAAGAGGAGCGTGCAGATGCCGAGGTTGGTGAGCAGGCCGACCCAGAAGGGCGCCGACTTGGGGCCCAGGCACGAGCAGCACTTGCGAGTCTTGGGCGGGGCGCCCACCATTGCGCCTCCGGAGCCCGTCGTCTTCAGGGACGTCGGCGGGTCGCGCTGGCCGTTGTTCTGCTGCTTCGGTGGGAATTGGTCGTAGCAGTGATACCGGCCACTCTCCTTGTCGCCCATTCTTATCTCGCTGCCCTCCGCGCGGCGCCGGCCCCCATCGCGGGCACGAGTGGCTGTGACGACGACAAATCACCGCTCTTTACGCTGATGACCTCATTTACTGCCCGGCCTTGTCACTGCCACGCGCCCATTGGGTCACGCTTGGACGCTGCAAAGACAGAGAGAGTTCAGGTGAGGTCAGAGTGTATGACAAATCGCTGGCCTGAGTGGCAATTTATGCAGAATGGATGGCTTTCAAGTTTAAATTGATTTCTCACTCTTTTGCACCCCTCAAACTTCCCCAGCACGTGGAATTCCTTCGAGCCTTCGCCGAAAGCCACACACTCTCCCCTCGAATCTCACCACCCACACACGCCAAGGGGGAGTTATTATCTCCTGAAGTGGTGTACAGTTAGAGGAAGTGTTTAAATATTCGCAATATTTCAATACTTGGAAGAAAATCAACATTTTCTTCCAGGAAAAATCCTTCAAAACCAAGAATTCTGGTGACAATGAAGCATTTGCATACAATGAAAATTTACTTTCTTTGAGAAAATGAACTAATTCCGGTAAAAAACCAATTTTTACAATTTGCAACGAATTTATGATAAGATTCCATGCGATACTTCTGTAAAAATCCACTTAAAACCGCTTTTTTCAGCGTTTTTTCCGACCATAACCTCAAAAATATCACTAAGAGATCTTAAAAGACTTCAATTGTGAGCTTTCTAGATGATAAAATCATCTTTTATGAGTTTCCAATAGACTCAAAATCGCTGTTTCACTGTCAAAATCGCGTAGAAAATGGTTTAAAAGGAACATTTTTCAAGTTAAAATGACTATTTTTGAGGTTATGTTCGACTACAACACAATTTACAGTGTTCTTTTCGTGCTTATCGCATGAAAATACCTAAATTCTGCCAGTGATTAGCAATCTTGGTGACTTTAGGATAAGAATTGATGTTCTATTCAAAATATTCACTAAATCCGTCCGTGATTCGCTACATAACCTAGAAAAAGATGGTTTTTTGTACAAGTAAAATGAAATTGGGCAGCAAAAGAAGCACGCATGTAAACACTTCCACTTCTCAAATACTTCTGCTGAACTGTCTCTCCCTTGGACGCCGCTGACGAGGGCGGGTGAAGAGTGGCGGCGAGATCGTGAGCGAGAGCTTCCTCGAGACGTCAACTGTGGGCGGGCAGGCGAAGATGATCCAGGGTGTGTTTTGCCAAGTGGTGAACTGGCGCCATTACACCTCATTCACTTCAGGCCCGATATTGAATTTAGAAGGAGCAAAAAAATGCTGTTTCATCATCTTCTTATTACGCTATTTGCGTCAACTTGCCACACTCTTGCGGAGGCGAGCGATGGAGACGCCTGGTTATCGCGCCAGAGTGGGTGAAAGAGGAGATTTTATCGCTGTGTGTGCGCAAAATCTTCAAACTTTCATGACTGTTTGCAATTCACGGGCTTCGCCAGAGTGTATTGAATTTAAAATTAAATTGTCCCATCGCGTGATGGAGTGCAACAAGCCATTGAGTCCCCATCAATGTTTAATCATTTGAGATGATATTCTCTGTGTGTCGCTGTCAAAATCCATCACACGATGTGCGATTTCTGTGCTTTTACGTCTTTTCTAAGCTTTCATGGAAGTTGACAATGAGAAAAGAGATTTTCTGGACACTGAGAATTCAATAATTCAACACAGTATTTTGCAAAACTTCTCATCATTATTCATCTTTTGCCGTGCTTTTTCGCCCCCCCATCTTCCACTGTTGAAGAACTTCATTTGGAATGCTGAAAGCTCCGCTATTGATGATGTTTGTCGATTTCCATCCAATACACAAGGGAGTGTCTATATTCCGCCGGTGCTTTGGAAAATGGTATTAGTTGGTTATTCACCCCTCGTGTGTCGCAATGGGAATTCATCAGTGTAAATTGGAGGGTGTGTAGATTAATCTCAAAGAAGGGTTCCTTCTCTAGCACAGCTTTTAACAAAGTTGTGCCTGAAGATGTGTGGTTGGGAAAGAAAAGAAAAGCGAAATCTCTCATGAGAACACACACACAGCCATACAAAAAGGGTAATTTTCCATGCCTTTCACTCCCTGATAACACTAGGGTGGCTTCCATTGGGGGCTAATATGTGTCTGGCTTATTAGTTGGCCAGAAAATAATTTAATCAAAAAACTTTTGCCATATCCAGAGTTTGAGCAAATTTCTTCCACTCCTTTTTTCCTTCAACACGCTTTGTTTGCACTTCAACCCAATTTCGGGGGCGTCGCGCAGTGCAGCATTTATGCGATGTTTGGGGTGTGTATTGGAAAACATATTAATTTCTACAGAAACATTCTCTGGCTTCTGATCAAACTCTCGGACTTTTGGGCACTTCTCAAAGCACACACAAAACTCACCAATTGCGAGGGAGAGAAGAAGAAAAATAGGAGAAAATAATATCAATTCAGCTTTTTTTTTCACCACTTCAACACATTCACTCCGGTAATGAGAGTGGAAAGTCGGCAATATTGCACATGAAAACACAATTTGACGGGGAATTTTTTCCAACTTTCAGCTCAGCAAATAGCGTCAGATGTTGCAATTTGCTGGGAAAAACTACATAATATCTATGTAAATTTTTACATTTCATCCAATTTGTGTTCATTAGCAAATCGATTTAATCATGCAGTCACGCAGTCAAAGTTTATATTCTATGGTGGAATTTAATACACTTTCGTCGTGCTGATTAAAAATGTGTGCAAAAATTCCTGGTGAATTGCCTCAAAAATTATTTTTCGCTAAAGTTGTTTTCCAACTAATTGAACACACACCACAATATGGAATTTCTACTTTTGACGAGAGAGAGAAAAACATGTTTCTGATGAAATAAAGCTCGGTGAGATATAAATTTGATATACTGTTTATTTAATATATTTCCACCAAATGATATTGATGAGCAAACAGAAGGATTTCACATAAAAATTTATGCCACCAAAAGCTGCCAATATTTGTACAAATCACCTTTCTGGTCAAGGGGCAGATATTATGAAGTGAAGAAGTGGTAAAATATGTCCAATATTTGAACTCCAAAAGCATCTTTTGCAACAAATTGAGGCATTTTCTAAATTATTTGATTGCTGTTCTGTTATGTGATTGATTTAAGACAATTTTAGAGATCAAAACACCCTCAAAATCATTAAATTTGTGTTTAAACTAGGAATATTTCTTTTTTTCTAGTTAAAATTGAACTTTTGTGTTCAAAAGCACTTCAAATTGGAGTAAATTTCAATATAAATCAACTTAGAAATCCAACTTAACCTCAAAAATGTAATTACAGATTAGAAAAATGCCTTTTTTATTATTTATTTCCACGCTTTGTGCTTTCAGAAGTGGCAAAATAAGACTCAAATTAATTAAAATTGGATGAAAAAGGATTTATTAACCTGATTTCTCACCTCACAATTTGTTCAGAAGCTTCCTAAGCATTGAAAATGCCTTAAAATGCCATCAGAAGTGTCTCTGAAGTGTTGAAGATTCATCACAGAAATTGTGGAAGTGTTTGGAAGTGCTGTACAGATTCTAGTCATATTATCTCCCCCTTGTTTCTGGTAAATCACTCATTTTCGACACAATAGCAGAAAGTAAATAAATAGTTTATTGCTCATTTTCACCTGTGCTCGAAGGAAAATCCCTTCGCGAAAATCCGCACACATTTTATGAACAATAACGCGAGGAATATTTTCATCACTGTGAGAGTGAAATTGCGGTATTATTGTCGCTAATACTTCCACCACTAGAATATTGGCAATTCCGCGCGATCACATCGTAAAAGTCAGATAAAAGCAAGATTCGAATTCCACCCGGCGCCTCCACGGCATTTTAATTACCAATATAGCGCGAGTTTTTTTTTTATTAATAAATTAATTACAATCCCCGCGATCCACATTTGCAATTTGCTGGGTGTGTTTTGGGGTCTCTTTTTTTGTCGCGCGCGCGGCGAAAATTCATTTTAATTTCCATCATGCGTCCCGATGGCATTATATACATACATATGTATCGTAAATTGTGTGGCGCAAGAGACGCGCGCGCAAATAAAAAATTTTACTATCGAAAGCAATAAAATTTGATGGCTTTTTAATTTCAAATGGTGTATGAATTTGTTGATGTCATGGAGAAAATTGACGCCTTGAGGCGCGGCTATGCGAAAAGGCGGGAAGTTTTAGTGCGCCATTGTCTCTTCGCCATGTGATGGAATTGAAAATGCAGCCCGATCGTAAAACTTGGGTGGGTGTCGAAGAAAGAAATCAAGTTCGTTGGCAGGGAGTTTAAAGTTTTCACAACACCCAACTATATATAGGGAAGTCTCTCCTTTAATCCTTTTCTTCTTCGTCCTTCTCTCCTGAGCGCCTTCGTGGCCGGGATTTTGGACGGATTCATTGGGAGTCAACCGGAGAGCTTTGAAAGCTCTATTCTTGTGCAGAAAATTTGCTATTAGTGTTTCTGATCTGGCCACATTTTGTGCTAAAGTTTCAACTTTTATACCATTTTTATTGCATCCCCACGCCTCAGCGACCCGGAATCCGCCAAAAGAGATACAGATAGAGACATAAAGTGGAAGAAATTGTTTACAACAAAAGGCGCACTATATTCTCCGTATATTTATGTCATGAAGCATCGGAGCGATTTTCCGCACGAGGGGCGGAAAAGTAGTGGAAAAGCGGAAATGTATTTGCTTTTCACGGTAATTCGCGGTGGACAGAAATCATTTATGCTTTTTTGAATTGTTTTACTTGATAATTGGCTTGATTTTATGCAAATTTGCATGCAAATTCTGTGTTATAACTTGATTTCCATTTACTGGAGGAAGTTTGAGCTTCATAGATTTCATTCAAAAGTCTCATTACCTGCAGAAAACCTACTAGATTTAGATTT